CTCTCTCTCTCTCTCTCTCTCTCTCTCTCTCTCTCTCTCTCTCAGAAATACAAGCCAACTTTGCTGAGTTCAGTGACGTTGAATTGCCTTGATGCTAACAAAGTATTGAAATTGCCTATCCAACTAGCTCCCACCGCACACTGCCTGCCCCTTCTCTCTCTCTCTCTCTCTCTCTCCCCCTCACCCCCCACCCTCCACCCTCCTCCACCACCACCTTTTCCACTTTTCCACTAGATTTCCCGAACATTCAAATCACAACAGGACTCTCAACCTCAGACCTGGCAATGGTCCCCTCCTCTTTGCCCCCTCCCCAACCTTCATCCATCTCGGTTGCTCTGGACCAGCAGTGGCTGCACAAGAAAAGAAAGAAAAGAAAAAAGCCTTCACAAATCCTGGTAAACCCAGCCCCGCTTCTATCCGGGAAGTACAGTAATTTCAGCGACTGGCCGTGCACAGGACTGAGTCTGAACACACCAGGAGTGTGCGCACATGCACATACACACACACACACACACACACACACACACACACACCATGGATGGGCCTCTGAAGCCTGCATCCTGTCTCCAGAGTTGGTCTCAGAGGGAGAACTGTGTGACCCCCACCTAGCTGGACAGGGCCAGGGTGGCTGCCCTGACATCTCTCCCCCTACCCCCACTCCTCACCTCCACTCTAAATGACTGTGGGTGAGGCAGAGTGAAGGTGCACTGGGATGGGGGCCAAGATCACAGATGCCAAGAAATCGCCATCAGTCCCCAGCCTCCATTCCCCGCCCCCCCACTTCTGCCAGGGTCAGCAGGCTGCCCTGGCTGGACATGTACACAAGGCAGTGCCCGGTTTTATTAACATAATCAAGCCGTCATTGGAAACTGGCTGGGTCTGCATCTCCGTGCGCTCCTCTCCCTGCCCCTATCTGAAATGTAGTATTTTGAGGTTCATTTGAAGAGGCCAATAGAAGCGTAAACACAAGAGGTCTCCGTGTGAGCAGACCCAGATTGGGGCACCAAGTCTGGGTGCTTGGAAGAAATGTCAGCAGTTCCTCTGTTTTCCCATAGTGTGCCTTGTTCTTGTTTGGGGCTCTAATTAGGGGCTCAGGTCCAGAAAATCCAGATCTGGAGAGAAGGATGTAGGGAGCAGAAATGACCCAGAGACCAGCAGTAGTATGGCCCTCTGTGACTGCTCTGCCAATTTCCCAGGTCAGGTCACCACTGCAAAATTCCAAAGTGGACTGTCCAACCCTAGATGTGGGGCAACTTGGGAGTAAAGCAACTCTCCCCCTTCGGGGTTTGTTTTCAAATAGACCTTGGCTAAGGCAATTTGTTTATTTGTGCAAACACCTTCGCTCTCCCAGAATGTCAGCTCAGAGGCTAAGGAGGCAACCTCGGGCCAAGGGTGGACACCAGCGATGCTATCAGAATGAGCCTGAATTTCCACATCTCTGCTGGAAGGAAGGGGAAATCCAGAAAGATCTCTCCAATCCCTTTAAATTCGTAGAGATTTGCGGATGAAATTAATTCCCATAAATAATCTGTAGGCCCTTCCCAAGAGGGAAAAAAATCTGGACTCCCCCAAGTAATAGCCCAGCCAGATTCACTCCGTTCCTGGAGCTTAGCTATATGCTTGCTGCCCGCCACTGGGCAAAATCGGATTTTTAAACCTGGTGGTGGTGGTGGGGAATCCATTCTTGCCAGGTGACACACCGAGGCAAAATGCAAGAGGGTGCCTTCCTATCTTGCTCGGGAACAGCAGCAGAGCTGGGTGGGGGCACCCAACAAGACAGAAATGGGTTGGGAAGCAGAGATCCGCCAGCAGAGGAAATTAGGAGAGAAATCTATCCCCCCATCCCAAGTCGCCAGGTCCACACTCACCTCCAAAAATCCCACCTCTTCTTTCCAGAAAGCAGCAGGGACGCCTCCCTGAGGCAGGGGCTCAGGTGAAGAACTTTGAAAGCACCGGGAAAAAAGAAATCTTTTAAGGTCAGGCCTTCTTCTAGGTTCTGTCAAGAGGAACACGGCACCTCCTAGCTCGTAGTTGGTTTGTGGTCTCCGACAAATTAAATATTACTGTTTATTACCAGGCATACCCCAATAAAATAAAGAGGCAACCAGGCGATACGGACTATCTCACCAGCCGCTGCACCTATAGGACTCAGAGACGTCATGAGTCACGCAACCGGCCCGCGCACTGTCACGGTTGACTGGGGGGCAGCGGCGGGAGGTTAATTTCTCTCCATCTTCGTCTCTCAGTCCTGGATCTTTGCGGCCACCAGTCCCCGGACGCCTCGGGCCCCGGGGAATAAATAAAGAAATAAACAAATCCCGTGCTCTCTGGGGCAATGGGGGTGGTGACCATAAGACACGAATAGAGCCAAGATCGATTTTCTCAGAGACGGGGAGAGGAGGGGATAACAAAGTGGGC